TTAATAATCGCAAACAATACAATGTTTTATAAAATATTTTATAAAATGGAAAATATTTTATGGAAAAAAAGAAATTCAATTGTTTGTTATTCAAATTTATGGAAATAATTTCCGCGAATGATCAGTTTCCTTATACGTTTTGTTTCTTAGAAAATAGATATTGGATGAATATAATTCGCGATGGCCGCAATGATGAATTTTATACACGAATAAATATGCCATCCACGAGCCCATCCAGCGAACAAAGTCTCCAAAACTCGATAAAAGCGTGGTTTCCGGTGGACGAGGGACGAGATTCGAAACGTAGGAGGGATCGCTTCCACTTAAATATTCATATAAACGTTTTGTGCCTGAGACTTGGTTCAATATGCCATTTTGTTTAGGAAGAAGGAAATACTATCGAGCCCACGCAATTTAAGCGGCTACTTGCGTTACGCTCTCGAACGCCCACGATTCGCGATTATTAAATAATAAGGAGAAGTGAATGGAGCTGGATAAGGAGACTTTCGTCGCGTGATATCAGCTTGGAACTTGCAAACTTGTTTGCGGAAAATGGAATGACACCTACGAGTACGTGGTGTGCTTTAATACAGGAAGTTGGCTGTCGGATAAGCGCGAAGAAGGAAATAACTATAGGAAATATTCATTTACAATAACTTGATAGTTTCTTATGTTTATCACAATTGTATATCTTAATTATTAAATTAATTTAAATTAGACTGTTTAAAATTTCAAAGACAAGTATTACTACATATAATTATATTTGTTCACAATTATATTTCACTTATATTTGAAAAATATCGGAAAACAATTACGTATCAATAATATAAAGAATTTGTTTGAAATATCATTTATCAATGACGATACAAATCGAAGAACATAATCATTTACTATGAAAATTATGCCGCAAAAGAAATAGGAAATCGAGAAAAGGAAAATAACGAATAATTTTCTTTCTATCCTAATGTAGATTCAAAAGCATGAAACAAAATTAATATCGTACGAAACGATTACTTTTTTAACATAAAAAAAGCTATCAAAATTCTGTACTATCATAAGTACGAATAAATTCAATTGGCAAGTTCAAGGGAGGCACGGTCGAGAAATATTATCGATGAAAGTTCTCTATACAATCACAAAGATACAAGTTCAAGAGAAACCATTGGAGACTTCCGGAAACAGAGTTGGTACGACCGCAACTATACCGCAAATCGTACTCTTAGCATTGGATAAAACGAGAATAAATTCCTGAGTGGAGGACTCTGGTGTTACGTCTAGTATAACTGTTCATCTGGAGAGAGGACAAACATCCCTGATAATGGTGCCCAATTGCCCAAATGACCGGTCATTATCTTGACGGGACGACTGTAACTGTATGTATCCTGTACGAAAAATTAATAAATTTCTTCTTCCCTTAATCGCGCGCGCCTCTTCGATAACATCGAGAGTAACGGGGTTTGTGCAATAATAAAAGTTCATTAGGATAATGCGAGCTATGCAGTTCGGTTTGATGTCGAATGCGATTGCCTGAAATGTGTTTCACCATTACTGAAATAGGTTTGGAACGGAGGTCAATGTTTGGGCGTGGTTTCATGAGGTTTTTGTTTCTTTTAGATGGTATATTTGATGGTGTAGATTGTCTAAAAAATGGATTTAAATTATTGTAGAGGATAAAGTAATTATTTCGAATAAAATTAGAAAAACAGATAACTTGGATAAGATAAATACGAGTAAGAATAAATTAAATGATGATGATCTTTAATTGTGAAATTTATCTGAAAGATAAAAAAAATGAAAGAAAGATATAATTGAAGATAGAAGTATTTTTATGATTCTATCAACAGAAAATTTAGACCGAGTGCCTTGGAGACGAGCAAAAAAAGAAAAAAATTTTATTGCAACAATAATCGTTGCGGTTTAAAAGAGTGAGGTGAAAGTGCGTCAAGTCTCATAGTCGTAAAGTCAAAGAAGCAACGAAAATAATGAGCCAAAAAGATCAATGGTTTTTTACCCCAAAGGTGTTTCGACCCTTGGAATATGTCCCCGGTGAATCACCACCAACTATTCGAGGTCGAATTCTTGGAGGATACACGTACCCCTTCTCTGGTATGCGGAGATACTTCCTCTTCTCGGAAGAAACTTTCATATTTTACGCTTGCAGACTATCATTCTTTTCAATTTTCTGATCTTGTGAAATTGTGCATATTTTACATGTCTCATTCTAGCCATACATTCATAAATCGATCGATTATTCGTGTTAAAATAAAAATTGAAATAGTTCTGGAGGATAGATCTTAAGATTGATAAAAAAAATTTCAATTTACTGGTTCATGAAATTAAATGAAATTAAAATTATATAATTTATATTATATAATGACAATAATTTAATCATCAAAGTTTCAAAAATTATTAAGTCCTTTACATATTTATTATAAGAAGAAAAGGGAAATTTAAAGATAATTTCTCAAATAATTTTTATCAAATCATATTATATATTCCAACTTCTCTCAAACTCTATATTTAAACCTCTCTTCCACTTCAAAACGACCAAGAACGAACTCAATAATCCTCCCTCGTCGTAGTGCCTCAAAGGTTAGCCCCGAAATCGCACGGATGGAATGAAAAAAATAAAAAATTGCAAGGAAGAAACAGAGTGTCGGCAACCCGGAGGCCAAATCCTATTTATACGTTCCTCGAAACTTTCAGCTCGAAATAAGGTATCCTGTTGGCAATTAACACACTAGATTGCTAATTAACCCCGTGGGAACACCTGGGAGGATCCCGATGCGTATTTTTCTCAACATCAACAACATCAGGAGGGAGCAGACGTCGCGACGCGACGCGACGTTTCGTTTCGTTTCGTTCCATGTTTTCCAAGAAGTCTTACTCGCTGTGCGTTTACTACAATGAACCTGAGGAGGACGTGGTGGGGCGTTTTCCGTTCCCTCGACCAATCAGGGAACACCTGGGAACGTGTTCCTTTGGAGGAGAAAGGTCTGGGGGCCCCGTTACCATCGCTCCCTCTCTCTATCGAAGTTCAATTGCACGGGACTTGCGTGTAGATCTTTCGATTACGCGATGATTTTGATCTATTTTGGTCGACTTTAACACGCGCTCCAATGAAGTAATTTTTATGACGAGATAGAGGAAGGGGATGTACTTTATAGAATATTAAAAATTGTGTTATTTGTAACACAAAAAAGAAATGATTTTGATATTATATTGAAGTTTCTTACTTTGAGAAACTTGACGATTATATATTTATTTATATTTCAAGTTCATCAAGATCAATACTGAGAAAGTTAAGCTGCAGATCTATAAATTGAATTAACGTATATATAATTATATAAAATTAAAGATAGAAGAAATACAAGAAGAAGAAGAAGAAGAAAAAAAGGTGTCTTTGTTGACCTTTTCTGCAATTATTCAATAGGATAGAAACTTTGACGATATATTTCAAGTTCATCAAGATCGATATTGAGAAAGTTAAGCTGCAGATTTATAAATTGATAAATTGAATTAACGTATATATAATTATATAAAATTAAAGACAGAAGAAATACAAGAAGAAGAAAAAGAAAAAAGGTGTCTTTGTTGACCTTTTCTACAATTATTCAATAGGACTAAAATTAGACTTAAAAGAACCAGTTTGACTTTACCAGTTTCACCTTCGTGCTAATGTAGAAACTGGTTTCATCAGTGAACCGAAAGAGTCTAACAAAACACTCGAAGAACTACGATTCACTTTTGAATCTAACGCTCTTTTGAATCGTCCTTTTTGAAATCTTTTTTGCATAAAAAAATCCGAGGAAATTCGCCCCAAAAAATTCAACTGAAGATAGATTTTAATTCTAAAAATACAATGGAAATACTTCATCACTTTTCATCAAAAAAAACTCGTTCCAATCTTTCTCCAACCAACCAATATTCAATGCCAGCCAGCAATAAACCAAGAGAAATATTCCTTTTTCCCTAAGATTAGATTACCTATGAGAGATTGGCGCTGGAGACAGTCGCAAGGCAAGATCCTTATTCGCCTGGAACCCTCGAGAGGGTTACGGCCTATGCACTTTCGTCCCGTTTCCTCCATCTCGCAGTTTTCATTATCTTCGTGGGAGCCCGCGAGATCGCTCGATGCGACACAACCTCTTCGACAAGCTGCACGCGAAAACCACTCAAGGCTGTCCGCTTTTGTTGGCCAATCATCGAAGCTCGTCGATACGTAAAGATGTCAAGGCGGTTTTTAATGAAACCGAGATATCTCTATAGTGTTCTCGTTGCTTAAATAAAATCGATTTATCGGTGGAATTTTGAAAATTTTTTAATTTTAATTGGAATGAAGATTCAACTCCTCAATTTGGCATAATATTAATATATATATATATAT